AGTAAACTCTTCCTTCGCCAATCTGTAATGTTTGAAATAGCAGGCACTACATACATTTAAGTAAGGGAGGGGAAAGTTCAAACCATGGCAGAAAAAATAAGTTTCCAAAGATGCAATGAGCAAAAGGTACTGGGAAACACATGGCGATACTACACTAGTCCAATTAGATAAATGAATGGACATGTTGGCGGTGCAGTGCACTGGGCATGGGCACTCTCCATCAGCCAGCTCATAGAGAGCATCTGGCCTTGCTGGTAAGCCCCCTGTAACCAGCCAGTTCCTCCACTGTTCACAGATCCAAGAGCCTAACTCGCTCATTCACAGGAAGAACACAGCAAAAGAGCCTCCAACCATCAAGCTTTCAGGAACCGTTCAGTTATTTTGTTCTGCAAGAACACTTCTGCAGTAATGCTCCTCTCACCAAGAATATGTACTGTCACTAGCACTGACACTGACATCTCTTGCATCAAAAACATCTCTAAGATGAAGCGATCTCATTGTTTCCAAGGTCTGGCTGCTCCTCAGATAGTGCTCTTATGTGCATCAAGCTCTCAGTTGTAAGTACTATTCTGCTGACACTAATGTTAAGAGATCTAGCATTAGTGCTATATTAAGGGACTTACAAAACAGGCTCTTAATGATACCAAATGCAAATATTGTTGTGGCTTCCTTTTGAAAGCACAGTCTTTGAATTGTTTTTACAATTAGAACATCATGTGCTTTTCTAATAAAAATGTCCTTTCCCCTTCTTGAGTGGGCTCAAGAATTTAATAAACCTCACATCAACAGCACTGATTTGCACAGCTTCAAGGAACTGGATTCAAGAGCCTTTGGATCATTTTAATTATTTGATCTATTTTCAATTTTTTTCCAGTTCATGCTATATGATCATATAAAGCAAGCGGATTCCCAAAGAGGTGGCTGTAAAATTGAGAGCACAAAAATTATGAAAGAAAAATTCCAAATAAAAAAACAGTCACTTCTTGTAAAGGAAAAGTAAAGGACAGCACTCCAACATTATAATGTTGACTTCTTTTCTTTTACCTCTAAACCCTGCCTCCAAACAGGCAGAGAACTGAAGCAAATGCCTTTGTGCACCTTTATGCAAATGTGTTTACCCATTTGTTTGTTTTGCAAAATAAAAACTTTTTTTTCTGCCAACTTGCAAACCAGGCAAAATGCCTGCCTCATTTACAAACATGCCACAGAGCAGCGCTCATTAGCGATGGAGGCAGAAAAGAAAACTAAAAAAAGAATTCCGTTTCTTAAAGCAGACAACACACCGGATTCCCAGTTGAT